ACAGACACACACACAGAGACACACACACAGAGACACACACAGACACACACACAGAGACACACACAGACACACACACACAGACACACACACAGAGACACACACAGACACACACACAGAGACACACACAGAGACACACACAGACACACACAGACACACACACAGATTCACACACAGACACACACACACAGACACACACAGACACACACACACACAGAGACACACACAACCACACACACAACAACACACACACAGACACACACACACACAGACACACACAGACACACACACACACACAGACACACACAGACACACACACACACACAGACACACACAGACACACACACACACACAGACACACACAGACACACACACACAGACACACACACAGACACACACACTCAGAGACACACAAGAGACACACACACACACAGACACACACACACAGACACACACACAGACACACACACACAGACACACACACACAGACACACACACACAGACACACACACAGACACACACACAGACACACACACACAGACACACACAGACACACACACACAGAGACGCACAGACATAGAAACACACAGACGCACACAGAGACACACACAGAGACACACACACAGACACACAAAGACACACACACAGAGACACACAGAGACACACACACAGAGACACACACACAGACACACACACACAGACACACAGAGACACACACAGAGACACACACACAGACACACAGAGACACGCGTGCAGACACACACACACAGAGACACGCACAGACACAGAAAGACAAAGATACACGTTCTGTAACACAGAGAGAAACACACAGATACACATACACGGAGAGACACAGAGACACACACACACGCACAGACACACACACGTACAGACACACAGACACACACACAGAGACAGACGCACAGACAGAAAGACAAAGATAACCCGTCTAGCCATGAACAAACTGTTGGGGCAAGTGCTGTTAGCAAACACCTTTTAAGGCCGGCACGGCACACGAGGGTTCATCATGGTTGGGTCACAAACCAGTGCTGATCGTTGGCATCTTTGTGTTCCCGATGTCTATTTATTGGGGAGACAAAGGCAAGCCGTGCGTGGTGCTGACCGCCCTTTTCGTACAAAGATGTTCACAAAGATGTTCACAAACGTGAACATCTTTGTAGCGGGAGATCTGTGTCTTTGTTGTCAGCTTCGACTTGCGCACGCGTGCGTTGAAAACTCGCCGGTGACCCGGGTTGACCCCAGTAAGGTCACGGGACAATGGCATTTGGCTGGCCGACCTTTTTAGACCTTCGAGGAATAACAACACAAACGCGTGAGAATACGTGCAACGGGGTCAACCGATGATAAACTTACAAGACCCTCCCCACCCGCACCCCCCAAGTCAAACAATGGATTTCAACATTTGTTATATAAAATAATAATAATAATCATCGGATTGCTATTCAAGATCAATATCACATCGTTGAATACGAGATGCTTTGGTTGCTTGTTCGGATAATACATTCATGCATGCATGCGTGTACAGTATGTGTACACGTGTATACATGCATCTCGTGTGTGGTTATGTTGAAAACAAAGACAAAGATCCCCCGTATAGCCTTGACAGAATGTTGGGGCAAGTGCTGTTTTCCGGGCACCTATCAAGGCCAGCACGCAGCCCGACCGTCTTTGTCTCCCCAGTGGCGATGTCTACACACCAAGTACTCATTTGAAGCTGAGTCGACCTAGGGGAGGTGCCCAAGACCGATCCAGATAATCGTGAGCGAACTCGGGTGGCCGGGTTCGTAGCGCTAATCACTGCGCCACCGCTCCCCGGTTGTATATCCACACACACACACAGCGAGAAGTGGTATGGGGGGTGTGTGTGTGTGTGTTTGTGTGTGTGTGTGCGACCTGTTGCCAAGCTACGCCGTGACAACCACGACTCACAGCGCAACACACGGATACACACTCACACACACGCACATTCATACGCCCCTACACACGCTTATACACACACACACATACACACGCATACACACGCATTCACAATACACACACATACACACACACGCATACACACCACACACATACACACACTCACACACACGCACATTCATACGCCCCTACACACGCTAATACACACACACACATACACACGCATACACACGCATTCACAATACACACACATACACACACACGCTTACACACACACACGCATTCACAATAGACGTACACACGCATTCACAATACACACCACACACACACATACACACGCATTCACAATACACACACACACAATACACACCACACACACATACATACACATGCATTCACAATACACGTACACACATACACACAGATACACACACATACACACACACGCACATATACACCACACATACACCCCACACACACCACACACACCACACACGCATTCACAATACACACACATACACAATACACACCACACACACATACATACACATACACACGCATTCACAATACATGTACACATACACACACATACACACACACGCATTCACAATACACACACACATACACACCACACACACACACCACACATACACACACACCACACACACACACCACACACACACACACCACACACACACATACACACACATACACACACACCACACACACACACCACACACATATACACCACACACACACCACACACACATACACACCACACACACAAGCAAAACACTCAACATCAATCACTCACACTCTTCACACACAAACACACACACACAGGTACACAATCACGCGTGCACACAGACACAGACACCGTGCCTACAAAGACGTAATCATTCACATGGGTATAGATGCATACACACGTGTGTGTAAGAACATACGACGTTACTTGAGACACATGTTCATGGATACAGCCACACACAGACAAAGATCCCCCTCACACCCGTATAGCCTCTAACAGACTGTAGGGGCAAGTGCTGTCAGCGAACAACCTATGAAGGCACCACGCCCGACCGCCTTTGTCTCCCCCACCGCCCCAGGAAAATCATTTTGGGCCGAGTCGCCCCAGGGGGAGGAGACCCAGGACCGGTTCAGTAAATTCGTCACCGGCGCTAACCGCTGCGCCACCGCTCCTCGCAGGGCCTCGCAACAAAAGGCAAAGATCCCCCGTACAGCCTTGGGGGCAAGTGCCGGTCAGCGAGCACCTACCTATGAAGGGGCTGGGATGTTCGCATGCGACAGAACACGTGGGCAGCTCAGGGGGATGGTTCTTTATTGTTCATTCAGGTCAGAGGACTCTTATTGAGAATAAAGGTCTTACAAAGGTAAACACAGACACGCACGCGCACACAGAGATATTGACACAGAGACACACAGACACGCGCACAATATAGACACACATCGCACCATAGACATAACAGAAGCACACACACACACAAACAACAAAGGTAAACACAGACACGCGCGCACACACAGAGATATTGACACAGAGACACACAGACACGCGCACAATATAGACACACATCGCACCATAGACATAACAGAAGCACACACACACACAAACAACAAAGGTAAACACAGACACGCGCGCACACACAGAGATATTGACACAGAGACACACAGACACGCGCACAATATAGACACACATCGCACCAGAGACATAACAGAAGCACACACACACACAAACAACAAAGGTAAACACAGACACGCGCGCACACACAGAGATATTGACACAGAGACACACAGACACGCGCACAATATAGACACACATCGCACCATAGACATAACAGAAGCACACACACACACAAACAACAAAGGTAAACACAGACACGCACGCGCACACACAGAGATATTGACACAGAGACACACAGACACGCGCACAATATAGACACACATCGCACCATAGACATAACAGAAGCACACACACACACAAACAACAAAGGTAAACACAGACACGCACGCACACACAGAGATATTGACACAGAGACACACAGACACGCGCACAATATAGACACACATCGCACCATAGACATAACAGAAGCACACACACACACAAACAACAAAGGTAAACACAGACACGCGCGCACACACAGAGATATTGACACAGAGACACACAGACACGCGCACAATATAGACACACATCGCACCATAGACATAACAGAAGCACACACACACACACAAAGACACACACACACACACACTCTGTCACACCAACACCCACCCCAACCTCCACACACCCCTCGCTCACCCACCCACCCACCACCACCGTCTCTTCCTCCTCCTCCACCACCACCACCCCCATCCCCATCCCACCGTGTGTGTGTGTGTGACCGGGCTGAGTTGAGGCTGCTTTTGTCAAAAGAGACTGCCGTAGACAAACACACACACACACAGACACACACACTTCAACACACACACACGTACACAAGAGAAGAACACACATACTCACGAAGACTCGTAGAAAACACGCACACACACACATACTGAACGCCGTACGTGCACACACACACACGCACATGTATCGTGTTGTCATCGGAGCCAGTCGCACGCACTCATATGCCGCTTGAGTTGCACCACCACCACCACCACACAGGCAGGCGCACGCTCGCCTCTACACACACACACTGCGCCATGCGTACGCACGCACGCACCAGAGCAGCACACACGCACACGTGTATCACGTGTTAGACACATAGCACACACACACACGCACCATAACACGCACGCACACACACGCACCATAGCACACACACACCATAGCACACACACACACACCATAGCACACACGCACACGTGCATCGCGTGCACGTGTTAGACACATAGCACACACACACACGCACCATAACACGCACGCACACACACGCACCATAGCACACACACACCATAGCACACACACACACCATAGCACACACGCACACGTGCATCGCGTGCACGTGTTAGACACATAGCACACACACACACGCACCATAACACGCACGCACACACACGCACCATAGCACACACACACCATAGCACACACACACACACACCATAGCACACACGCACACGTGCATCGCGTGCACGTGTTAGACACATAGCACACACACACACGCACCATAACACGCACGCACGCACCATAGCACACACCATAGCACACACACCATAGCACACACGCGTATCGCGTGCACGTGTTAGACACACAGCACACACACACACACGCGCACCATAACACACACACACCATAGCACACACACACACCATAACACACACGCACACACGCACACCCCGAGATACGCACGCTGATGCGTGCACGTTGAGGAATAGCACGTGTGTGCGCGCATGCACCGACACGTCGTGCACGCTCCACTCGCGACGCACGCGCATCCACGTGCACGCGCGTCCACGTGCACGCGCATCCACGTGCGCGCTCCACTCGCGACGCACGCGCATCCACGTGCACGCGCGTCCACGTGCACGCGCGCCCTCGATGCACGCGCGCGCCTGTGATATCCGTGCAAGCGCGTGCACGTGCGGGAGTACACAGACGTGAGTAGCAACGATGCACTTGCACGGTTGTGATAGTGCGCATACATCGAGTCACGGCAGTCCCGTGATACACACAGAGACACACTCACACACTCACTCACGTGTTGTGTCATACTCATGCAAGTTAAACAACAGCACAACAACAACACACAACAAGACAGTCCTGCAAACATGTACACACACACACGTTCACTCACATGTTGTGTCATACTCATGCAAGCACACAACAACAACAGCAGCAACAACAACAACAACACACAACAAGACAAACATTTACACACACACACGTTCACTCACATGTTGTGTCATACTCATGCAAGCACACAGTAACAACAACACAACAACAACAACACACAACAAGACAAACATGTACACACACACATGTTCACTCACATGGTGTCATACTCATGCAAGCACACAACAACAACAACAGCAGCAACAACAACAACAACACACAACAAGACAAACATGTACACACACACACGTTCACTCACATGTTGTGTCATACTCGTGCAAGCACACAACAACAACAGCAACAACAACAACACAACAACAACAGCAACAACAACACACAACAAGACAAACATTTACACACACACATGTTCACTCACATGTTGTGTCATACTCATGCAAGTTAAACAACAACAACACACAACAAGACAATCATGTACACACACACGTTCATTCACATGTTGTGTCATATTCATGCAAGTTAAACAACAGCAACAACAACAACAACACAACAAGACAATCATTTACACACACACGTTCATAAACGTACAGGTTTAGGCTCATATCCGTACAAAGGTAAAGATTCTTAGGACAAGTGCTGTTAGCGAGCACCTAACACACACACACACGCACAGTCTCATCCCCATACATAATACACAAGCAGTCACATAGCCATACACACAGACACGCAATTAGACACATCACGCAGACAAACACGATCACGTACCCATCACCATACACACACAGACACACATTCCCATCACCACACACACACACACAGACATCCCCATACACACACAGGTAGTCTCATATCCATACCACACATTCACACACAAAGCCTCCTCCAACCACGCAGACACACACACAGACACAACTATACACCACTCATAGTAAGGTGAGAATGCCGGGATGTTGCTGTTGCCAACAACACGTGTGCTTGCTGCCTGTAGCACATGTGGATTCTGTGAATATTAGAAGCTGTGGTTCTACCACCTGTAGTAGCTGTGGTTCTACCACCTGTAGTAGCTGTGGTTCTACCGCCTGTAGTAGCTGTGGTTCTACCGCCTGTAGTAGCTGTGGTTCTACTACCTGTAGTAGCTGTGGTTCTACCACCTGTAGTAGCTGTGGTTCTACCACCTGTAGTAGCTGTGGTTCTACCGCCTGTAGTAGCTGTGGTTCTATCACCTGTAGTAGCTGTGGTTCTACCACCTGTAGTAGCTGTGGTTCTACTACCTGTAGTAGCTGTGGTTCTACCACCTGTAGTAGCTGTGGTTCTGCCACCTGTAGTAGCTGTGGTTCTGCAGCCTGTAGGAGCTGTGATTCTGCAGCCTGTAGTAGCTGTGGTTCTACCACCTGTAGTAGCTGTGGTTCTGCCACCTGTAGTAGCTGTGGTTCTGCAGCCTGTAGGAGCTGTGATTCTGCAGCCTGTAGTAGCTGTGGTTCTACTGCCTGTAGTAGCTGTGGTAGTAGCTGTGGTTCTACTGCCTGTAGTAGCTGTGGTTGTGCAGCCTGTAGGAGCTGTGGTAGGAGCTGTGGTTCTACTGCCTGTAGTAGCTGTGGTTCTACAGCCTGTAGGAGCTGTGTTTGTGCAGCCTGTAGGAGCTGTGGTAGGAGCTGTGGTTGTGCAGCCTGTAGGAGCTGTGGTTCTACCACCTGTAGTAGCTGTGGTTCTACCACCTGTAGTAGCTGTGGTTCTACCACCTGTAGTAGCTGTGGTTGTGCAGCCTGTAGGAGCTGTGTTTGTGCAGCCTGTAGGAGCTGTGGTAGTAGCTGTGTTTGTGCAGCCTGTAGTAGCTGTGGTTCTGCAGCCTGTAGGAGCTGTGGTAGTAGCTGTGTTTGTGCAGCCTGTAGTAGCTGTGGTTCTGCAGCCTGTAGGAGCTGTGGTAGTAGCTGTGTTTGTGCAGCCTGTAGTAGCTGTGGTTCTGCAGCCTGTAGGAGCTGTGGTAGTAGCTGTGTTTGTGCAGCCTGTAGGAGCCGTGCTGGATGTGAATGTCCGTGCTCCCTGCTTCAGCTGCCCCGGCTGTTGGTGCCGCGTCCCAACCGCTGGCGGGATGAGCGGGGACCTCGACCAGGGAGTCCTGCAGAGATACGCGATCCGCAAGAGACTCGGCAAAGGGGTGAGTGAGTGTGTGTGAGTGGGTGTGTGAGTGGGTGGGTGTGTGTGAGTGTGTGTGAGTGTGTGAGTGAGTGTGAGTGAGTGGCGTGTGTGAGTGTGTGTGTGAGTGTGTGAGTGGGTGGCGTGTGTGTGTGTGAGTGAGTGTGTGTGAGTGAGTGGCGTGTGTGTGAGTGAGTGGTGTGTGTGTGTGAGTGTGTGTGAGTGGGTGGGTGGGTGAGTGTGTGTGTGTGAGTGGCGTGTGTGAGTGTGTGTGTGAGTGTGTGAGTGGGTGAGTGTGAGTGTGTGTGAGTGGCGTGTGTGAGTGTGTGTGTGAGTGTGTGAGTGGGTGAGTGTGAGTGTGTGTGTGAGTGGCGTGTGTGTGTGAGTGGCGTGTGTGTGTGTGAGTGAGTGTGAGTGAGTGAGTGGCGTGTGTGTGTGTGAGTGGGTGTGTGTGTGAGTGTGTGTGAGTGTGTGTGTGAGTGGCGTGTGTGTGTGAGTGAGTGTGTGTGTGAGTGTGTGTGAGTGTATGTGAGTGTGTGTGAGTGAGTGAGTGGCGTGTGTGTGTGAGTGGCGTGTGTGTGTGAGTGTGTGTGAGTGTGTGTGAGTGGGTGGGTGTGAGTGTGTGTGTGAGTGGCGTGTGTGTGTGAGTGGCGTGTGTGTGTGTGAGTGAGTGAGTGTGTGAATGGGTGAGTGAGTGAGTGTGTGGTGTGTGTGTGTGTGAGTGAGTGGTGTGTGTGTGTGAGTGTGTGTGAGTGAGTGAGTGTGTGTGTGAGTGTGTGTGAGTGGGTGGGTGTGAGTGTGTGTGTGTGAGTGAGTGGTGTGTGTGTGAGTGAGTGTGAGTGAGTGAGTGGCGTGTGTGTGTGAGTGAGTGTGTGAGTGGCGAGTGTGTGTGTGTGAGTGGCGTGTGTGAGTGTGTGTGAGTGAGTGAGTGGCGTGTGGGTGTGAGTGTGTGAGTGAGTGAGTGGCGAGTGTGTGTGTGTGAGTGGCGTGTGTGAGTGTGTGTGTGTGAGTGAGTGTGTGAGTGAGTGTGTGAGTGAGTGGCGTGTGTGAGTGAGTGAGTGAGTGGCGTGTGTGAGTGAGTGAGTGGCGTGAGTGTGTGTGAGTGAGTGACGTGTGTGTGTGAGTGGCGTGTGTGTGTGTGGGGAGCGGTGGCGCAGTGATTAGCGCGCTGCGCTGCGAAGCTGGTTTTCCCGAGTTCCAATCGCGCTCACGGACGGCCACCAACACCGATGACGATTATCTGAACAGGTGCTGGGCAACCCCTAGATCGACTCAGCCTTAAATTGAGTACCTGGTGCGGTGCGGTGCGCCACCGGTGAGTGTGATGTGTATGTAATTGTTGATTTGTATTGTGATGAGTGATTGTCTTTGTGGAGTGGGTGCGATGTGGGAGTATGTTGTAGTATCTGTACGTGGGGTGATTGCTGTGGTGTCTGTGATTGGTGTGTATGGAGAGGCGATACAGCGTGATTTGCGGTGCGTGTGTGCGGTGCTAAGGTTTTTATGGTGAGTGTGATGTCGTGTGGTGTGGTAAGTGTGGTTGCTGGTATGTACGTGATCGTGCACGAGTGTGGTCAGTGTGATGTGGAGAGTGAGCGTGTGGGTAACTCATTCAGTATTTTTTCACAGTACCGGCTGACAGCCCACTGTGATGATATTAATTTTGCACGGGCGATCTTGTGACAGATGCAAACAACACGGGGAGCCACTGCGATGAGATGTCACTGTGTGTGCGGCGTGATTTGTGGCAGTCTGTGTGTGGGATCTTCATTTGGAGCTTTCGTGACTGCATTATTAAAGTCACGTATAAAAAGAAAATAATAAATTAAATACTAGCATACGACGTTTCGATTGCAACACAAGCAATCATCATCAGGTATAAATGAAATAGAAACAGAAATTTAGTATACTTAGAAATGTAATGTATTAATGTATTTATTACATTGCATTTCTAAGTATACTAGATTTGCAACACAAGCAATCATCATCAGGTATAAATGAAATAGAAACACAAATCTAGTATACTTAGAAATGTGATGTAATACATAATGTAATACTAGATTTGTGTTTCTATTTCATTTATACCTGATGATGATTGCTTGTGTTGCAATCGAAACGTCGTATGCTCGTATTTAATGTATTATTTTCTTTTTATACGTGACTTTACCGAAAGAACCAAAGAGTAGGTCTGTGTGGGCTTTACTTTACACAACGCCGCTGATACATTTAAAATTACAGATGGTAATGATGATAATGATTAAGTTGCCTTGATGATGATGATGCTGATTGTAATGTGGGTGACCTCTACCCCTGCTGTTGCAGATGATGATACTGCTGCTAACTGATGCTGCTCTTGATGATGATGCTTTTGCTGTTGATAATGGTGATCCGTATGATGCCGATGCTTTTGCTGGTGTTAATAATGATACATCATCATGATTATGTTTACAATGGTCATGCCAAAAATTTTCATCGTGGTGATGACGTAATAACGATGAAGATATGAACAATTATGACCGTGATACTTTATAAAAACACCTAACCATCGTCAACCTTGATCTATCCACTGCTGAGCGAGATCACTTGAGCTGATCTAATTGCTGTATCTGAAAGTGCATGAAGAAACCTACAGGACCCTATCCTCACCCCGATAACATTTGGCAACCCTGCAGCATTATTTGTATTCAACACTAAGACTTTGGACCGGTTTTGATCATTTGGCCTCATCAGCAGAGCAGAGTCAGGCTCGCGAAAGCACGAACGACCAAAACCAAAGGACGTGCTGATGCCAGCAAGAATTGGTCAGTGGATGGATATATATTTGATTACTGCGATAAAAACAATAACAATAAAATCAGCTCAACACTTTCCGTTAAAACCCATGTGTGTGCGCGCGTGTGCCCTTATAAGGAGAACAAATGTATAATTTGTGACGTTTTGGGCAATGTACCTTCTTTATTAGCACGTGGCCATATAATGTCGCTGCCATATACGACGAGTTGTGGGGAAAAACATATCCTGGTGGTCGCTGTGAATGGCTTTGGCATACCTGTCAACCCCTTATCAGTGCCCCTACCTTATTACAGACCAATTCAGACCGTAGTGGTCACCCCGTGCTCCCTGATACATCTCAACCTTCATCCTCCAAAGTCCCATCGCAAGGGAGAAACACAAACACAAATACACACACAAAAAGAGTTGCTCGTATTAAAACGGCTGGATGCCATATGGACCTAAAAACTCAATTTCTCCGGACAAGAATAAGGACTAATCCGTATGGGTTGACGCGGTATTCTTTGGCAAAAAGTGTGTCTCCGAGTCCGTTTCTCAGTTTGTAGTGTCCACATTTGTTTTATCCCCCCCCTCTCCACCCCACCATGCAAGCTCAGTCAGTAAGTACTCGGGGTCTTCCAGACTTCATTCATCGCAAACCCCCCACGGCCACCACGCTGCGTCTGTCAGCGTAGACCAATGTACCCCTTCCCATTTAAATGAAACTCGTTGCACGCCGCACGCGCCGGATGATTGTTAAACACGCCGCGCGCAAAGCATTCGACGTGTTTACTTGGCCCAAAATAATGTTTGGGCTATACGGGGGATATTTAGCTTTGTATTTGTGTTTGCACGTGTTCCATGTGTGTGTTTGTACGCGTGCTTCGCGTGTGTGTGTACATGTACACGTGTTGAACGCGACGAACATGGCATCAATTGCTTAGTCCGTCGCATGGGACGTATTTAACAATCGGGCAGCGTGGAAGGAGTTAATTTGAATGGGGAGTAGTAAATTGGGAGTGTGGTGGTGGTGGTGGTGTTAGGGTCGCGAGGACTTGGTGTAACCGTTCAATTTTTTGTAAGAAAAATCATTATTTTGCGAGGTCGCTGCGCTAACAGCGGTCCACAATTAATAAACAACAACGACAACAACAACAGAAAACCACAACACAGCCCGTCAATAACACCGCTTGTGCGTGGCCTTAAAAGGGAACAAAAATTGGCGACGTTTCGTGGGGGGGAAAAAAATACAATTCTTCATAGCACATTAATGTTAATGTCTTTTTAAATTACTATTCTTCACACAGATATTGAGATGGAACGATGACATCATCCACGAGACCGCGAGATTTAGCGGCGGCTTGGATTGATCGTGGCCGATTATGATGATACGATCGTCAAAGCTTTACGAAGATCATAATTAGAATGCGAAACACTTGCATCGGAGAACATGGGCTGGGGTTAGCTGACACCGTCTAAGCTGTCGATAAATTCACGTAGATAGGTTCAAAGAAAGAAAAAAACTACGATGTTTCGATCACAACACAAGCGGTCGTCCTCCTCCTGAACCCATCTATGTGACTTCACCGAAAAACCCCAAAAAATATTTGAGAAACCACCAGACCTTTTTTCACACATCACATGATTACACTGATCAACAAAAAAAAATTCTGGCCTGGACTTTTGCAGCTGTTTTAGACTAATTTCAGGGTGCTGATTCCAAATCTGATCTCAGATTTGCTCTATCACATCTCATTTTTATGCTATCGGCTTACCCCATTTTCATTGATTTTACCTGAAATTAACTCTGTCACTTATGATTGCAAGTTGTTGCGAGTCAGTGACTGCTTTAGTGTTAAAATATGGTGCTGTATTTTTAGGATAGTGTGTTTATAATATCATTTTACGTAGATATCCAAATTGATTTAATATTTTTCTTCTGCAGTTTTTATTGAAAATGCAATATTTGATATCTCAAAAACCTGATGTGATAGACAAAAACTGATGCCAGATTTGGAATCAGCACCCCAAAATTACATTAACACCGTTGGAATACCTTATGCCAGAAAAAGTGTGTTGACCAGTGTTATTATTCCACGCGACACTTTTTGAGCGCGCACAATTACCACCGATTGGCAACTGCGTTCAAAACCACCAAACCGTGGACCGGTTTTTGACATTCAGATAGAGAGAGAGAGACAAAGAGGGCACACACAGAGATCGAGAGAGAGGCAGAGAGACGGGTTTCAT